GAGGTAGGGGACACATCCCAAAATAGCTATTTTTTTTTAAATCTTTAACCATCAGATAAAGACTCCCATTAGCTAAATCCAACTAGAAGCTTGTATCTGGCCTCTAAGGGAACATCACAATAAAAATTTTAAACAAGAAGTATGGAATTCTACTGTTAGGGTGGAGGGCCCGCGCTTGATCCCAGAAGAGCAGACCAAGTCAAAATAAATTCACTCATGTCAGTTGCTATGTAGTCCAATGGAAACTTAAAGGAAGCGGACAGATCACCAAAATACCAGAAAAAAACAAAGAAAACTTCAAGTGACCTTAATAATATTTTCTAGTATTATTTCATCTTCCCTGTTTTATGAAGATCTCTGTTTTGCCATTGTCTAGTGGGAGCTCTCTTCTATTTTGGAATAGAATCTATTAGAATCATGAATCATGAATAAAAGTAAAATTGATATGATACTAACTTAGTTCTAATTTTTTGTTCTAAAAAGACATATATTTTGGGATATAAAGTGGACCTGGGTATGTAAAAGGGAGTAGAAATTGTCCATCACATTCAAAATATGTAAAAACACATAGTCGTTTGATACTCTAATGGGACATATGAAGATAGTAGAAACACAAGGTTAAGAGAATAATTTCTATAAAATGAGCACCACCCCGTACTGAATCCCCCATTGCTGTCTTTGCAAAAACCAGTCTATCTGCAGCCCTGCCTGTCTGGAGGGGACAGGAAATGTCACATTCCCCAACAAAATAAGGCAAGGAGTAGAAGACCAGACAGTCAGTGTAGATAATGAATGATGGGGGTCAAGAGAGGATGATGGCTGGTTATCGCTGGGTTGCTATCAACTAACCTCTGAAATCACACCTTCTCACTCCATGGGTTGCTAACATTTCTGGGGATCTCACTTTCCAACCCAAGCTATTATCACCTGTGCTGCTCCTTATTGCCTTTAGGCATGTACATGGAAAAGAAACAGAATGTGGGGAAATTTGGGTGGTCTAGAAAAGAACAAGACACACCCACTCCCATGGGCACTCAGTTCTGGACCACTCTCCTTTCCAGGGAAGTATGCACTTCTGTCCCTCTTAAATAAAATTTGCTTTCTACACTAGTCTCGCTATTTCTCAGGTGTTAATCTTCAACACCAGGGGAAGGAGGACCTGTTCCTGATCTCCAAACAGGCATCAAAAGGAGTAGTGATATTTAGAGAAAGGACAGAGAGGTCAAAGGAAAACTCTCCATTTGTCCCTGCTATTCAACTTATTTGATTTTATTTTCAGAACAAAGTAGTTTAAATTAAAGTTTGTAATCTGAAAGATCTTGATGCTATTATGTGTGACAAATATTAACTGGAGAGACAGAAAAAGATAGGAGAGTCTAAAAATAGATCAATCATCATTTCATCTTTTCTTGTATAAGAATTTAATATTTTAAAGATTGTTTTTAATATCACTTAATTTTTTCTCATTGGAAAGATTATTTTTTTTTGCTTCTATTTCAAATTCACATTTTGCTCCATTATCATTATGATTATGGATAATTAAAATCTATGTGAGCTATTCTAAGAGTTAGTGAACTAAGATAATTCAAGATAATCACATATAAATTCCCCAGAATCATTTATTCAAACTAGCTCTATTCTAATTTTAATCATTTACTCTTTATTATTTATTTATTTTAATTGTATTCTCTTTGAAATTATTGTTCAGTGTGTTGGGAAATGGGGTGAGTTCATTTTAATGAAATCTAAGAACACAGACTGACTCCAACCTTAGCCAGGAGGTAACTAATTGTACATCAGATGCATGTCCATGGAGAGCTTTGCTCCAAGGAACTTGCTCACTAACTCACCTGAGAGAAAGGTAAATGAATGGCCTATGTGGTAACAATGCCCAAGAGGTCTCAGGAATAACACACAAATAGCACTCCCAAAATGCATGCTTGATATTTTCTACTATTGCCTTCCTAACCCACCTTTTTTTCTCTTTGGTACCCCATATCATCTGAAAAACTAACTTCTGAACAGAATATTTAAATACTCATTTATATACTATGATTTCTCCATTCTTTCCTGAAAGCTTGAAAAATTCAAGTGTATTCCTTTATAATTTTTTTTATTGAAGGATATTTTACAAAATAAGGTGAGTAAAAAGTACATGTATTTAGAGGCCATTCATTTTAGGGAAGATTGAAATGAGTAGTAGATAGGTTATAGTGCCTAATATACATATAAGAGTCAGAGACCATTTCATTTCAAGTTTTCTAAACTTCAGAAATGCCTAGTTTGTTGGCTTTAGGAACAATTAGCCTTCTCTTTGTAATCTCTTTTTAAATTTCTCACTTAGATCATACTTAGAGACATTAAAATTACAATAAAAACACACTCCACAAATATTAAATATCTGGATGAATTATTAAGTGACTTAGCAGTAATGTGAATTTTTTTACATATATGGTCACAATTTTATGAATTGCCTTGTCTGTTTATTTCATCCAGAGGCCATGTCTTGTATAAAATTGCTTTTAGTTCTTCTAGTGATCTTTGACTATCTACAACGTTGAACCTGATCAAATTATAAATAAAATATCATATGGTATGAAATTTAATAGGCTAGAAAGAACATATATGTGAAAATACAAAGACTTCAACAGTAATACAGCCTGGCAGCTTTTAACATGACTTTAAACATTCATGGCTATAGATTACTATGTAGTAAAACAAGGATAGAAAAATCACTGAAAATAGGGGAATCCAAATATCATGAAATCTAAGAGTTTAATGTAATAAAATGTAATGAGAATAATATGGTGAGCATGAGAAATATAAGGATAGGATTATAAAGTTTATATATAATGCAAGATTAAATCATATTGATCTCCAGGGAAATGCAGAAATCAAAGAGCTTTGGGGTAATCAAAAAATTACAGTTAATATGAAAAAAAATCCCCAATCACATAAATCTAGTGAAGTTGCTGAAGTAATATTGGTGTTAATACTTTAATTAGAGCTAGATAAATTTAATTATGGAAAAATTCATGGAGAATGAGATCTATAATTAGTCTTTAAAAAAACTGATGTATGACCATGGTAGAAAATTATGAAATGTGAATATAATGATGCTAAAGGAACAAATAGGAGCTGACTTATAATGCAATTATTCCATAATGTAAATAGATTAAAAATTTTATAATACTTATTTAGCAATCAAGATGCAATGTTTTTATTATTAAATTATTATTATTATTCCCATTTAATTGGAATAATATATATATATATATATATATATATATATATATATATATATATATATATATATATATATATTCCAAGGGCAAGATTAACATCTCAGCTCTGAGTAGCTTTGTGGAACCCCAACAGGTAGCCTTGAGGATTTAATGGAATACAGAAGGTGAAAACTGTGGTTTGTAACCCTAAAAATATAGTCTGGTACCATAAACCACTAAATGGCTTTCTTTCACTTAGAATTTTCACCATGGAGCACAATCTTAACTTCACATCTGAATGTCCCTCAAGTTACATGAGATATGGTTTCTATGAAACATACCTCACTAATAAAGGACAAATACATAAAATTAATTTTTACAACTCAAAATAATGCTTTCCTTAGGCATTAATTTTGTTTCTATGGTCCTGTTAGCTGAAAACCAAAGAAATATGTCCCAAAAGTGAAAAAAATAATTTCAGGATTTGAATGTCTCTGGAGTTGGCATATCTCCTACAAAAGTTAGTTACCTGGTCATAAAAAAATGTACCTATATTTATATATAGTAAAAGGGTCACTGATAAAAAAATTCTTTTCCTAAAAGAGGATAATAATTTCAATTCATAAAGAAACACCACTAAAATGGATAAATTAACTAAAATTTAACAAGATATATGAAATGCCCAGAACTTGGATGAGTTTTTCAAAGAAACACATAAGTGTAAAAACAAATCCCAAAGTATGAAGAAACATGTCTTTTTAGCTTAACTTGTTGAATTTATAAAAGCAGGCATTGATAGCTTTTCAAATATGAGAAAATGATGTTAAATGTTTTTAAATGATATGTTCAATTTCAAATACCTAAGAATCATTTGTTTAAATCTAATCTTTTCTCACTCCCCATAGAGAAGACATAATTATTCAACAAATTAGAAAAACTAGTAAGAGTTTCTTTCTTCCTTCCCTTCCCCTTTTCTTCCTCCTTCTTTCTATCCTTCCTCCCTCTCTTTCTTTTTTCTTCCTTTCTTCTTTCCTTGTTTTCTCCCTTCCTCCCTTTATCAATCTTCCTCTCTCTCTCTCTCTCTCTCTCTCTCTCTCTCTCTCTCTCTCTCTCTCCCTCTTTATTTATTTAGGGGTGACGGGTTTATTCCAGGGTCTAGCATAAGGTAGGTAAATGCTATAATATAGACCTAAGTCCCTAACCCTGGACTAATCTATTTTGATGATACTCATATCTCCAGGTTTCCTCTTCCTTAGTCTTCTACTCTTGCTACCTGAATAATTCTGTGATTCTTATCATTTTTCTAATGCTCTGCAACAGTGATCCTTAACATGAAATCATAGAATTACTTGGACTTATCTACTTTTGTCAGACACCTGAAGATAGGAAACAACAAATTTCATATTAAACTACTCAATTGATTTTTATTCTGTAAAATTTGAAACCATTAATTTGAACTTTCTAAAATACAGTGACTTCTATTTTCCATTCAGTCTTCACCAGAGAAAAAGAAGATAACTATTATCAATCTTGTAACACAGGAGAGGAAATTCAGTTTCAGAATGCTTGGGTTACTTGTTGACAAATACTTTTAATTTTTTGTATTAATGAAGGAAAATTAGATGACCTGGTCTGTATTCTTTGTGCTATATCAAAACTAAATTATTGTATTCTATAATCTCTGAGTACAAACAAATGGATTGTTGTGGTTGTTCTCTTCCCATAATTCTAAATTCTTTGGTACTTCTCTACCATAGGTGAAATAAGTTGAAGAGTATGGGGCTAATTAATGAAAGCCACCCTGACGAGTTCATTCTACTAGGCTTTGCTGATTGTCCTTGGATAGAGCTTCCTCTATTCATTATTCTTCTGATAACATATCCCATGGCACTGATGGGAAACATTGCCATCATTCTGGTGTCCAAGTTAGATCCCACTCTCAACAGTCCCATGTATTTCTTCCTCACCAACCTCTCCTTTTTGGACATATGTTTAACCACAAGCATTGTTCCTCAGATGCTGTTAAACCTGAGAAGCTCTAAGACCATTAGCTATATGGGGTGTGTAGTTTAGCTCTATTTCTTCAGCATAATGGGAGTACAGAATGTCTTCTCTTGGCTCTCATGTCTTTTGACCGCTATGTGGCCATCTGCAGACCTCTGCACTACACTTTCATCATGAATCAGCGTGTTTGCATTCTATTAGCATCCACTGTGTGGTTGGGTGGTATCACCTATGCTATCTCACAGGTCACAACTACACTGCAGTTGCCACTGTGCAGCGTGAATAAACTGGATCACTTGGTGTGTGAGTCCCCAGTTCTGTTAAAGACTGCCTGTGGTGACAAAGAAGTTAATGAATTCACACTCTATGTGGTGTGCATTTTTATGTTAGCTGTTCCTCTGTGCTTAATTCTTGCCTCCTATGCTAGTATTGGACATGCTGTACTTAACATTAAATCTTCTGAAGGAAAGAAAAAGGCCGTCAGGACATGTTCCTCTCATCTTGTTGTGGTTCTCCTTTTTTATGGCCCAGCCATTAGTATGTACCTTCAGCCCCCCTCATCCATTACAAAGGACCAGCCCAAGTTCATGGCCCTCTTCTATGGAGTGGTGACTCCTACAGCCAACCCCTTCATCTACACCCTGAGGAATAAGGAAGTAAAGCAGGTATTAAGCAACTTGGTGAGGAGCATTTTCCGTTCAAAATAAACATATTTAGATATAAAATGAAGTTTATTGAATGATGGGAGGTTTATAAATGTTTCTCTTGTATCTCATTCATATCCTAAATCTCAAGTTATAGTTTCCTTTGGCAAAATCTATCATATTCATTATGTTATTCATTATCACATTAGGCAAGAATGATACTTGGCTAATATGCACCAGTATGAGCACTTGGTTCTTGAAAATACATTAAAATAATTCCATTTGGCTGGTTCATACTGAAATAGTGACTTTGTTAAGTAGAAAAAAAGAAGGCTAAACTCTAAACTTCAACATAATTGCATTAGCTCTATCTAGATCTCATAAAAATGGAATTATGATCATTCATCCATAGGCTTTCCAGAAATGTCACTTGATAAACATTTCATCACTCTGTGAGTTGTCCCAACCCTATGTGGACAACCCAGCTAAAGTGTATATTTTACATAATCAACTCTATGCTGTCAGAGATTGTTGAATCTTAAAATTTCATCAACTTCAATTATGTGAATGATTTTGCTTTTGGGAAATGCATTGTTATTTTTGTTTAGCAAATATGTCTCAGTGATTTTGTATTATTAATTAAATAATTTTTAACTGCTGGAAGGGATAAGATGGTGAAACACAGAAGACAGTACTTTCCAGGTGCTCCATGTATCTGAATTGAATGGGAGGAAATTCTCCTTCTCAAAAACTTGGATGACTGAGGGAATTCATTGTAATTTAATATTGGGCAGTCAGTGACTCTGAAAGACCCAGAGATTTTGATGTTTCAAATAAAAGATAAGAAAAGGTTGACCAGAGCCTACAAATGACAGCCACATTGCAGAAATCAGGGTAACACAACACAATGGACAAGTTTGTCACAGAAATACCTTTAGAGTAAAAAGATGGTCTAGCCAGCTGGGAACCTGAGCTGGGTTCACAAGAGCTGGTTGCACCAATAACTTAAGAAAATGGCGAAAGAAGCATATAACACACAGAAATACCTTTTGCTTGTAGAAATCAGGGAAGGCTCTTGACCTTAAGGGTCCATTGGAGAAAGAGTGAGACACTTAAAAATTCTTTATTTATTTGGGAGAAAGACATTCAAGAAAGTTCAACCCAAAAGAGTCAAGATATTGGGTTTTATGGGGGTATATCCCAGTCTCATTGGGTGACACCCACTTCCAAAGCTTCATTCCTCTGCTCAGCAGAGATGGGATCCACCTGCTTACAGGTGTAGTAGAAGCCAGTATCCACAATTCCATTGCTCAAGGCTAAGGGTACTCAGCTTCTATGTGGCAGCTCCCAACAAAGACATATGGTTTGGTGGTTTCCATACTGATCTCTCATCTTTGATTCCTATCAGGGTGAAGGCAAATAACAATGACTTCACTCTGAGTTTTATAAGGGTTGTGGAAGTTGACTTAATTTATCAGGCTATGCCTGATAACAATATTGGAGGGCTCTGTAGGGTTGTCTGGTGGGAACCGAAGTTTTATTTTAAAATGGAGTTGCTTAGGCTAAGGCCATCCTTACACCTGGGCACAATCCTCTGCACCTGTTTTAGTTGTACTGGTCCAGGCATACACTGGGCCTCAAATAAGACAAGTGCTGGGTCAGGCTGGCAATGTCCTTTATGAGCTCCCAAACTGTTGCCTCTGCAAACTGCTATGGGGCCACTTGCAGATGATTTCCACAGCAACTCTCCACTCCTCAGCCAGAGATTCTGATCAATTATTTGTGAGATCAGGCAGTGGGTGGCAACCAAAGGAGGCAGATTTAAAACGGACCTTGGAACAAGAGACTCCTGGGTGGAACCCTATAAGACTGACAGAGCAGACAGGAACAGGAAGAGGGTCTGAAGAGAAACAGCAGGGAGGAGGGGGCTTGACCTTACTGGAATTTTATGGGCCTCACAGCAGGAAGGGAAAGGCTTGGGACAGGAAAAGGTGTTTTTAGAGTCCCTTGTCCCATTGGAATTGGTCAGGGGAGCTGGCTGAACTCCAGGATTGGCCAGGAGACCCTGTTGATTGACAGGTGGTAGCCAGGAGATCCAGCTGATTGACAGGCATTTCCATGGGTGAATGATTGATGTTTCTTTCCTGCACTCAGGCTGCTTGGTGCTTTGTTCCTAAGTCACTGCCACCAATCTGACCACATTATTATTATTATTATTATTATTATTATTATTATTGGTACTGAGGATTGATCTGAGGGACATTTAACTTATGAGGCACATTCACAGCCATATTTCGTATTTTATTTAGAGACAGGATCTCACTTAGTTGCTTAGTGCTTCACCATTGCTGTGGCTGGCTTTGAATTCATGATTCTCCTGCCTCAGGCCCTCAAACTGGGATTACAGGCGTGCCCCACCGTGCCAGGCCTGATAAATTTTTAATCATCAACTTGTCCCACCTTCTCTGTGTCAGTTATGATCAACCTCCCACTCTATTGCACATGTTATTCCAAGCCATTTTATTCACTCATTTCTTTCTATCTATCCCTATCCTCTGTTGTGGGCTGATAGCTCTGATGATCACAATACCAATCAAGCTGATGTGTCTCTAATATATTATTTCTTATGATTAAAGTTTTGAAATTCTGTGTCTCTGTGATTATTTGAATAATATTGCATTTTAGTAAATACCCTAGTCACCCACATTGCTGAGAAGCAATACTCCTGCTGAATCTTGAACTGAGCAGTGATTAGAGAGTGCACCCTCTAAAGCAGCAAGGGGTGCGCGAGATCAGGAACCCTGGAACAAGAATGAGGCATCAAGAGGTTTATTGGTGGGGGGGTGCTCCCAGGCGAGGTTCACCATTCTGTGAAAGGAATTCGTGGGGCACGGGAGGCAAGAATAATGCTAATAAGGGAAACTGGAGGTAGGAGGGCCAAGGCCATTTAAGTTGTAGCTACTGATGGCAAGTTGGCCCAGCTGAGTTTAGGCAGATCATGTCTATCATGGGTTGGTCAAGGCTGATTGAATTGACAGGGCAATTGCTTCCCCCAGCAGGAACCATGGCAGTAGTGGTGGTTGGGGTCCAGTTGCCATATCAGCTTCTGATTGGCCATTTCCAGTATCCTCAGCCACTTGGAAAGTCCTTGCCCACAGCCAGCCCCCATGAAAGAAGAGGGGGAAGGGAAGCCTGCTGACCTAACATCCCCTTCCTCTAATTTGCCATTTTTCATCAGTTTCACCTTGAGTATTTGAAGAATACTGGCCAGGTATCTTGTAGAAGGGTTCTTAGTTGTTATTTGTGTGTCCTTTCTAATGATGAGTAGGGAATAAGTGCTGAGAGCCATAGCCAAGTAGGAATGACGCATGGCAATTTCCTTGTCAGCCTACCCAATGTTGCTTAGAAGGAGGACTCTCCATTGTGGAAATGGGCTTGCCTGGGACCCAGGTCATTTGCAGTGACATTGCTTGAAATGTGACCTTGCTCAGGGATTAGGGCGGATCCGGGTTTAGGGCAGATCTGGGTTTAGGGCGGATCTGGGTTTAGGGCGATCAGGGTTTAAGGTGGATCCTGCTGGGAATAGGGTGTATCCTGTGCCTCAGGTGCCTGCTCCTTGAGTTCCCATTGAGTTCTCGCAGGATTCAGAGGGTATTTGTACGCAGAGCCTGGTGGAGGAAGTGAATTTTCCCAGAACGTGTGTGTAGAGTGCCGGTGAGAGTTCGGGAATAAAGAGTTGCTGTTTGAATCTACAAGGTGTGTGGTGTCTCGGTTATTTTGTGCCCAGCCAGACGGCAGCAAATAAGAATGTACGGGAGAAGAAAACAGAGGGTAAGTGCCCTTCTCATCCCTTCACTGTAGTGGGTGCATGGTACCTAGATGGCTTCATTGATAGATGTGCAAAAATTAATCAGTTGTTGAAGGTACTGTTCCCAGTATATAGACTTCCATTTACAATTTTTATGTCTCAGTACTGTATTCCTTCAAAGACAGAAGAAGAAAAGAGATTAAGTTTTGCCTCTCAGAAGGGGAGTTTTTATTTATCTACAAGGCAAATTTCTCTTCCCCTTCATTTTCTTATTGACTTAATCATTTATTTATATGAATATGGATTCAGGAATATTTGTTTTATAATTTATGTTACAATTCAATGCATGCCATTTATTTTGATGCCCAAATTGTTCCAGCTGCTTTGTCCCTTGGACATACCTTCATCCATTTTTTTTTCTGGTATATCTGGTACTACTACTGAAGGATATAGAAATTAAGTTCAAGGACACTTCCCCTAAGCTTTTGACATTTAAAATCCCAGGCCTCAGCCAGATCTAAGGAATATAAAAGGAACTTCACCTAACTGGCCCCTGACCTCCTGCCCTAGTAGATCACCTGACCCCAATATAATAAGCCCCAGGGAATTCCCTATTCACATTCTTGCCCCACCATAAAGGAAGCCTACATAACCCAGACACTTGTTTCAGCCTGCCACCATTTCTGCTTGTAAAATGACCCACACCAGGTTCCAACAATTGACTCCACCACTAAATACTGTATAGAGAAATTCTTGCTGATCAGAGCTTTGCTTCCCCATCTCCTGCCTTCATCATGTGATTGTCCTTTGTCCTAACAACTAATATAGTCTTGTTTTGTATATTGTTTACTCAGACATAGTATGAGGATGGCCTTAGGTCTGAGCTTAAGCAACTGTATTTTAAAAACTCCAGTTTGAAACCTGAAGTCTTAGTAGGCACACCTAACAGAGCCCTCCAGTATGGCCTCAGACAAGTCACTTCCCCTCACCCTCATAAACAGAGTGAAGCCTCTGGCAAGCTTTCCTGACCTGATAAGAGGGAAGGTGAGAAGGTCAGGGTAGAGACCACCAGATGAGATGTTTCTGGCCCCAGGGTAAATGATGTCATGGAGAAATTCCTGGTAGCTGATAAGGATTGAAAGGGAGGTCAAAAGCCCCAAAATTTAGCTAATGAACAGGGAGTTAGCCAGCCAAAACAAGGATGCACTTGAGATGGAGGGCCTTGTGAGGACCTGGGCTGACATCCCATCACTTG